AGTACGGACAGTGGGGATGTTTGTTGCAATTAGAATTACGTCCACGACGTAAGTGGTGAAGGAAGTAGTAAAGGCTGGCAGTGCAGAGTGGGGGAACCGTTTTAGCAGATGGATAAGTGAATTTGTAATACTTAAATGCTATGAGAAAGGAAGGAAACAGGCCAATGACGTAGTAAATGGTGAAGGAAGTAGTAAGGCTAACAGCGCAGAGTGTGGGAACTGTCTTTGGCAATTACATTAATGTATCTGCAATCCTAAAATGCTATGGGAAGAGAGGGAAACAGGTCCACGACGTAGGGTGTGGTGAAGGAAGTAGTAAATGTGAGCAGTGTTGAGTTTGGGAATGGATTAATGTATCTGCAATGCTAAAATGCTACGGGAAGAGACTGTAGACTGTAATATGTTAAACATGATTACGAAGCACAAATCGATACATATTTTCGATACATGCAATCGTTTACAATCGAAATTTACAACTGAGTTGACAACAGCTGATTTTTACTCCATAGAGGCTAAAAACGATTTTTACTCCCTAAATATTAAAAATGCTACTTTAGACCCGCAGCGCATGCATGAAAAAATACTGTTTTTACTGCAGTAAGACAAAAACAATATAATATGAACCCTTGATGACTCCGCTCAATTTTGTGGATGCCTCTGCGAACGCCACCTAGTTAAACCATAGATAAAACATACTCCCTTAGATAAAACATACTCCCTTAGATAAAACATACTCCCTTAGTAGATTAGTCATCCTAATGGAACAGCTGAAGCCAATTTTATTGTTAGTTCTGTACGTCCAACTATAGAGGTTATGTTTTGTTTACAATTTGTTTCTTGTTATTGCAATCATTTAAAACCTTGTTTAACCTAATAAAACGATATAATCATAAGCAATAACTGGTCTCCTAGTTATATAACCAAATAGTAAAGCACAAATCATGAAAATAACCCTAAAATAATAGAAACAAAATGTTGTCTACACTAGCGATCAGTGTGGACGTACATGAACTAGACGCAAAAAACAAGCTTCAAAATTTACATTGGGATGAGGAGTCTACTTGTGTTGCTTAGTCTATGGTTAAACATTAGTCTTATGGGTTGCTAGGTAACCATGTTGGCTGAATAAAATAACAAGGAAAAAGTAAACAAAAGACTTGTAATTTGTCAATCCACAGTATACTAGCAAAACAAAATACAGTACAAAAGGAAAAACATCAGTTGTTACTATTGAGCAAAGATTATACTAAAGATTACTCGATTCTATAGTTAAGGGTAGCAGTGTGGAGTGTGGGAACTGTTTATGACAATTAGGTTAAGCGATCTACAATCCTAAAATGCTATGGGAAGGGAGGGAAAAAGGTCCGTGACGTGGGAAGTGATGAAGGAAGTAATAAAGGTGAGCAGTCTGGAGTGTGGGAACTGTTTATGATGATTAGATTAAGGAATCTACAATCCTAAAATGCTATGGGAATGGAGGGAAACAGGTCCGCGACGTAGGAAGTGGTGAAGGAAGTAGTAAAGGCGAGCAGTCTGGAGTGTGAAAACTGATGACGATTAGATTCAGGAATCTGCAATCCTAAAATGCTATGGGAAGGGAGGGAAACAGGTTCACGACGTAGGAAGTAGTGAAGGAAGTAGTAAAGGTAAACAGTCTGGAGTGTGGGAACTGTTAATAACGATTAGATCAAGATATCTACAATCCTAAAATGCTATGGAAAGGGAGGGAATCAGGTCCGCGACGTAGGAAGTGGTGAAGGAAGTAGTAAAGGCGAGCAGTCTGGAGTGTGTAAACTGTTTATGACGATTAGATTAAGGAATCTACAATCCTAAAATCCTATGGGAAGGGATGGAAAGAGGTCTGCGACATAGAAAGTGGTGAAGGAAGTAGTAAAGGTGAGCAGTCCGGAGTGTGGTAAATGTTTTTGAAGATTAGATTAAGGTATCTACAATCCTAAAATGCTATGGGAATGGAGGGAAACAGGTCTGCGACGTAGGAAGAGGTGAAGGAAGTAGTAAAGGCCGGAGTGTTGGAACTGTTAATGACGATTAGATTAGGGTATCTGCAATCCTAAAATGCCGTTGGAAGGGAGAGAAACAGGTCCGCGACGTAGGAAGAGGTGAAGGAAGTAGTAAAGGTGAGCAGTCTGGAGTCTGGGAACTGTTTATGGGAATTACATTAAGGTATCTACAATCCTAAAATGCTACGAGAAGGGAGGAAAACAGGTCCATGACGTAGGAAATGGTGTAGGAAGTAGTAATGCTAGCAGTGCAGAGTGTGGGAACTGTCTGTGGCATTTATGTATCTGCAATTCTAAAATGGTATATGGAAGGAGGGCAAACAGGTCCACGACGTAGGTAGTGGTGAAGTAAGTAGTGAAGGTGAGCAGTGTGGAGATTGGGAGTGGATTAATGTATCTGCAATACTTTTCAGAGTAAACTAATAATTTTCCCCGAGCAAAGCTCGGTCCCCAGGTACTAGAAAATTAATTATGACAGTTACCGTATTACTGTAGTTTTATAATGATAACTTCTGTATAATACCGGTACTTGACAATTGCTCGAATTCGAGCAACAGGTGTACTAGTTACTATTAAGAGACGCCATTTAAAGGAGGACGCCGTCTAGGTGCGAAATGTAACCCAAATATGAGTGAACGATGAGTGTAGAATGGAGTGAGATGCCTTATGTATCTTTGTTACCAGTTAAGACCAGCTGTTTCATTAGCCAAGCAGGACATTTTATTAAAACGATCAAGGATAGCTGGGTACAGTTAAAACCCATTTAAAAGCTACAAAACTTTCCCAGCATATAACTGGCGACCTTTGTATCATCAGGCGAGCACCATAACCACTCATCTATATGCTTTTTTAATACACTTTTTTTTGTATAAAGCTTATACAGTACACTTCTAATTTTGTAAACTCACGTTCTGGTTAAGGAACATCACAGAATAAAGAGTTTACACATTATTCTGTGTCTAGTCACGTTTTTATTGTTTGGGCATACTATTTTATTTTGTCCTTAGTCATATATTAGAAGAATATTGAAAACCAATGGGGTATAAAGTCCTAATAAACTTCAGGCAAAATCTCAAAAGTTGCATTAACTTTTGAACCAGACTTTTAACAGGAAGGGGGTGTTGCACTGATTTGTTTAGTATGGGATTTAATACTAAAAAGTATTAATTGACTTTATAAAAAAGTCATGTCAGTACTGTTAGGCATCGCCCATGACTGTAACGTTTATCTTTTTGCTACTGAGATTTTTTTACATTAAGACTTAAATTGTATAAATACAAAAACTCTTATGAGTATTCTTGAACAATCGCATAAAAATAACCTGACAAGTACATGAAACACGGAACTTGTTTACTTGAAGTAAGTCATGGTACTTGACATTAGCTCGAGTGTTTGTTCTGTATCTAGTGTTTTTTGTGAATATATCTAATTCAATTATCTAGAGAAATATTCTTTTACTAATCCCTTTTCCGAAAACATTAGATTATGTAAAATACAATGCTGTAATTGGAATGGTTTAAACTCATAGTGGATGACAAAGATAATGATAGATTTTGGCATTGGCACAAAAGTATGCTTTAGCACGAAGGCTAGAAATCGTTGAAATATAACTTGTTAAATCCATTCCTTTAATCTCTAAACCTCTAAATAGTCGCAGTTCCTAGGTTCACAGCTCTGGCCTTACGGGCTGCGACTATAGAAATGCGGTGCATAAAAGGGAAAAGGCAATATCAGTCTCAAAGCTACCGCATTGTTGCCGTTTTATAACTTAGCAGCATTAAGCGTTGGTTATAAGTTGTAAGATTCGAATCCGTGAATTCCGTGTCCTCAACAACTGTCGTCTTTGCGGTTCCATTTCATTCATACCCAGACTGTACTCATCTGCAGACCGTGCAGTCATAACCTCTACGCTCATCCATTCCTCTTGACAGCCCTCGAACCAAAAGTTTCAAGTCTAGAACCCCATCATCCCCATGGGACATCAACAAGATTATGCTGCCCACTTTGTACTACAATTTATAGATTCTTTAACTACTTCAACCTAAACGTCCTAAATTACCACGACCGTGTCCACGACTCAGAGATGCTGGTAATTGGCACCAGGTGACCCAGTATTACTTTAACAACCATCGAACCATCAAACAAAAAGCCTCGTAACAATTACCAACCTTACACACCTACGAACAAAAAGCCTAAAAATAACATAAACCCAAACAAAAACCAAATAATCTTACCCTTATCAAAAGCGGCAACTCCATTTTGATTCTCTCAGTCTCTGATTGGTCCTGATGGCCGCTGTGACTGGTCGAAATCGGTCGCCAATTCATATCTTATATTTTTTACTTTCTTTAAGTATGTACTGTATAGTCTAAGTGTAGGTCTAGATGTCAGGATCGTATTTAGAATCTACGAGGCTTTTCGTGGGCTCATTGGCGGTACTTCTCCCCCGTTCACGCCCACATAGTGATTTTCAAGTGCGGAATCATCGCAGACACTTATGGCAATCACAAAAATAAATACTCAGCTCAAAAATTGAAACCCCTGACACATTATGATACAAATTTGTCAAGAGAAACAATTCTGATGAGGCCAAAAGTAATGCCCCCATAAAGGCCGAGACAATAGGCAACCACCGTGTCCGCCGTTAGGGAAATACGTCCCTGGTATATCGAGAGAGATATTGAGATGTATTGGTAGATTTATGGAGAATTGTTTTTACTTCAGATAGTTAAAAGTAAAAGTTATTATATACTCTCATTATTCGGATGTCCCATCCACCATCCATGCAATTCGGTATGCTGTCCTTGCATCCCCGTATGTAAAGAGACAATGGACTTTTTCAAATGTCAAGTGTAAAATAATCTCTAAGTTATCATACGATGTTATAAGCACTCGCCGTAAGTGTGTGATATTCAGGTGGCATGATGTCTAGGATTTATATGATAGATCTTCGCTTATCTGACCTTGACACTATCAGTGGTCGATCCAAGTCTTAGGGTGTTGTGCGAGGTACACCTCACTCTAGGAAGTTGATGTTGAAGAGTGTTGAGTGTAGATGGCTGTTAAGAGGATCGTCTCTAAAGGTCTTCTCAACCAGTACATCGCTGCTATTTCAGGTAAAACACACTATTTGGAGTTCTTGTTTAACGAAAGCAAAATTTAACAATAAATTTAGTGAGTAAATATCAAGATTTACGATTTAGGATGATATTAAAAGAAAAGTAAAAAATGCATTGTTTAGGCTAGTGTATCAAAAACAGCCATGTCTGCAAATCATTGTTCGAAATATGCTTGAATTCAATTGAAAACCCAAAATATATTCAAATTGTTGTCAGTCACCACTAGCTCAATAATTTAGAAAAAAAATTATCAGTAATCAAAAAAACTAATGAAGTATTAATTTACTAATTTCTGGATTTTACTATATTAGCAATTATTGTTCATTACTGACCAAACAGTTTGTCAATTCTTACAAGGAAATGTTGTAAACCAAAAGCAAGATTCGTTTAGTAAGAGGCGTTTTATATGAATATCGTTGTTTTTTGGTGTGAAGTTTTATCGTTTACGTTGTAATCCCAAAATTATTATCCACTTGAATGCGTCAACAATCAAAATGGTTTGAGTTGGTTTGTCCTTCCACTTTATTAGGTGTATGATTCGGTTTATTCCTAACTGATATTCGTTGAAAACCCCCTCTTTACATAATGTTGGGCTATCGCAATATAACTACATAAGTCTCTTCATTTTCTCACAATATTTTCAGATACATTTGAATTTAGACTCCTGTCTTATGTCCCACTCTGTGTTTCAGCATGCATGAGCGTGGTGGCCTCAGGTTCATGCTACGGCTGGATCACCCCCATCTTGACAGACTTGCTCAGTCCTGGCAGCGAGATAGACATCACTCCCACTCAGATGTCCTGGGTGGTCTCCATCATAGAACTAGGCAACTTCCTCAGTCCCCTGCCAGCGGGCATTGTCAGTGATAAAATCGGCCGCAAGCCTGTCATCCTCGCCACAGGACCTGTGTATATCCTGGGCTGGATCATCATCCTCTACTTCCCCACACCTCTCATGCTGGGCATCGCTAGAACCATTCACGGACTGGGAATGGGCTTAGCGTTCACAGCAGCTCCTATCTACCTCGGCGAGATAGCCGGAGACAAGACCCGTGGAGTTATAACGAGTTTGTTCTTCAACTCCTGGTGGGTTGGATTTTTGATCTCTTACTCCGTTGGACCCTTCATCAGCTACAGAGCGTTCACGTGGTTCACACTAGCCGTCAACATTCCGTTCATCGTCATCTTCGCCTTCCAGCCAGAGACTCCGTATTACTACATGATGAAGGGGAATGTAGAAAAGGCGATGAGTACTTTGATGTGGTTCAGAGACAAATCGGAAGACGAAATAGATAAGGAGATGGCTCAGATGAAAATTAGCGTGGAAGAAAATCAGAAGAAAGCCAGTGTTAAGGACATAGTGGCGACTCCTATTGATCGAAAAGCGTTCTGCATGCTGCTTGTGTTGACGTGTGTGAGAATCACAAGTGGGACAGGAGCAGTCCTGGTTTATGCTACTCAGATATTTGACATGGTTCCGCACCTGACGATTTCATCAGATGTGATCACCATCGTGTTTGGGGTAGTGATGCTGATTGGAGGTATAGTCGGGTCCGTCACAACAGACACTTTGGGGAGAAGACCTTTATTGTTAATCTCCTGCATCGGTTCTTTGATCTGCCAAGCGTTTACTGGTACTTACTTCTTCTTGTTGTTTAAAACTTCAGTTGTTGTCTCGAACTTCAGCTGGATTGCTCCCGTCAGTATCCTCATCTATTCGGGTCTCTGTACAGCTGGTATGTACCCTGTCTGTTCAGCCTACACATCGGAACTTTTCAGTTCTAACATGCGAGGTTTAGCCTCCAGCTTTGGATCTGTCAATGTAACGTTCTTCTCTTGGGTTAGTTTAGCCTTGTATTTACCGTTTACACAATACATAGGTCTGTATGCTAACTTTTACTTCTACTCTATCGTATTGCTTTTTGGCTCTGTCTATTTCTATTTATTTGCCCCCGAAACGAAAGGAAAATCTTTTGTTCAAATTAGAAGAGAGATGAGCCAGAAAAGTTTGTCACATCTGGACGATGGTGTTTAAGTAGGCCTTATTTCACATTGACGAACTAATTCTAATGTTTGCTAAAACATCCTTCAATAAATGTGTAAAATAAAGGACGTGATGACATAGACTAAATGTCAATAATGTGGTAGTATTATGACCCTTTGAACACTATAATTTGCAATTCATTCTTTATAATTCAGTATTTTTATGTTTGGTTCTAAACTGTTTCAAAACTGTAAATAGGTATTACATAAAATGATTATTGTTTGTAAAAATGTACTTTAGTGTTATTTTTGTATTGAAATATACGAACTTGTTTTTACGTGGTTTTACGTTATTTGGACATTTTGTATTTTTCATTTCCTAAATATGTGTACCCTTTTACCAAAATAAGAAATGACCATAACTAAATAAAACACTATGCATATTTTTCATTGGTCAAGTCCAGGATACACTAGCTTACTACAGTAACAGTATCTTCAACTTTATGAGAATGAGAGTAAAACGGAATGTACTACAGTTTTGTATGTAAACAGACAATATACTTATGTTAAGTGTAAGAGCAAATCATCCCCAAATGATCATTCGAGGCTTATCACTCGTGGGTGGCAACTATGATGTATTCAGTTGGCATTATGTATAGGATCTGCATTATTTCTTGGAATTATCCGACCTTGACGCTATCAGAGGTCGACCAAATGCTAATGCATGTACGAGGAACACTAGCACACTCTAGGAAGTTGACGTTGAAGAGTGTTGAGTGTAGATGGCTGTTAAGAGGATCGTCTCTAAAGGTCTTCTCAACCAGTATATCGCTGCTATTTCAGGTAAAACACACAGTTTGGCATTCCTATTTCACGTGGATGGATTAATAAGTGCGTAATAATAAAAGTGAGCTGAATATAAACATTTGAAGGGGGTGAAAAATTAACTAAAACCCCCGCTTAACAGTTATAGTTGCAACTGTTTGTAGGCCTAGTAAAAATATTTTTTAAGGTTCGACTAATTCTCTGTGTTATCTATCAAAATCTTATCAAACAAATCGATTGAAAAATAAATTTAAAATTCTTAATCTGAACTCAGATTAATGCACTCCTGGAGTACCCCAGGGTAGTGTCCTTGGCCCCTTGCTATTTGATATTACAAACCAGACATCCCTATGGTCCCCAATGTCACAGTTGCTACATTTGCAGATGACGCTGCACTGTTGTCACTTCATGTTGACCCTCAAGTTTCTTTTTACTTATTGTTCTAAGAATTAAACAGATTGTAAAATTAATTCAGATGTAAGAAAAGATTTGACTGCAATTATAAACAAATCTGCGTTGTTTGTTAGTATTACTCACTACTGGCTCGATAATTGTTAAAAACAAATTATCAACAGTACCTGAAAACACACAATTAAATTCCATTAATTTACCGATGGTAACAGTTTAAATAAGTACTTTAGTTGATTTATGTCGAATTATTAACTTGTATTTAACTATTATTTGTGTTCCCGACAAAAAAAAATGCGTTTGTATGAACGGTAAAATTTAATCTAATACCCCTCCACAAAAAACATGCAGGTTAAGTGAATGTCCATGGTCCTAAATTTGATTTTCACTCAAATAATCCCTTTAAATTTGTTTATTTAAAATAAATTTATTTTAATGATTGGCTAAAGTTTGCTGCAACAGGGAAGGTTATAAATAGGGGGGTTATTGAAATACCAATAGCTTAGTAGAAAAAAATTAAAGGCAAATACTAAGTAGAATATAAATGTGATCAAAGAAATACTGTAGTATATACTTCATCTCTAGGGCCTAAAGTGACTCTTTTCGACCCAAGAAAATGAGTAACAGCAGTAGAACCACGCTATTTTGTGTCGTTTCGTTGGAATCCTGATGTGCGGCAAAGTATAAACCGCACGACAAAGTATAAACCGTACGGCAAAGTATAAATATGCAGCAAATAGCAGCTTTCTGTACTACAAACAGTACAAGGAAGCCAACTTTGTCGGGTGACTGTAGGAAAAATACTTTTGATAGCTTATTTAATGTATGAATTTGAACGGATGGCTTATTTGGCCTTTGGAGACATCATCAAGTAGAAGTAAACTGGTCCTGGGTCTAATTACGGGAGAGCTACGGTAGCTTATTACCTAGGCCTAAATGGGAAATTACAAAAAAATAACAAAAAATAATGAAGTTACTTTTAATGGAGGGCTTTTTTTAAAGAATGTCGTTGCTTATACTGCAAGTTGAAACATGGTATTAAAATTACACTTACACTCTAAAATTACGGTATAGTAAAAAGTAGGGAACTAAAAGTTGATTAGTGTATCCGAAACAATTCGAGATTTCATAATCTAATGTGATCGTGTCACAATTGTTCTTTATTAGCATTATATAAAGCATTAGCAATGGTGTCAGATCGGTTGGTCGTAAAGACAAACAACAAGGCGACCAAACAATAGCTGTCATTATACAGCCGAGTGATGTGATATTTAATTGTTTACCTAGTAATCCCAGTGATTATTATCCACTTAATGTAATCAACAAACAAAACTGTTTGAGGTGGCACATTTATTTTCCATTGCTATAACTACGGATTCATTCGTAACTACTCGTTAAAACACACTAATTTACAAACCTGTATGTAATTTAATAGAAGAGTTAGAAATATGGTGCTCTTCTACATTCTATATTTGTAATGTATCCTTTAAAATCCTTTAGCCACAAATGTAGAACCTAACTACTTATATCTCACTCGGGTGTGTTTCAGCATGCATGAGCGTGGTGGCTTCGGGATCAATGTACGGCTGGATCACCCCCATCTTGACAGACTTGCTCAGCCCCGGCAGCGAGATAGACATCACCCCCACTCAGATGTCCTGGGTAGTATCCATCATAGAGCTAGGCAACTTCCTCAGTCCCCTGCCAGCGGGCATTGTCAGTGATTACATCGGCCGCAAACCCGTCATCCTCGCCACAGGACCTGTGTATATCCTGGGCTGGATCATCATCCTCTACTTCCCCACACCTCTCATGCTGGGAATCGCTAGAACCATTCACGGACTGGGAATGGGATTTGCGTTCACAGCAGCTCCTATCTACCTCGGAGAGATAGCAGGAGACAAGACCCGTGGAGTTATAACGAGTTTGTTCTTCAACTCATGGTGGGTTGGATTTTTGATCTCTTACTCCGTTGGACCCTTCATTAGCTACAGAGCGTTCACATGGTTCACTCTAGCCGTCAACATTCCGTTCATCGTCATCTTCGCCTTCCAGCCAGAGACTCCGTACTACTACATGATGATGGGAAATGTAGAAAAGGCGAGGAGTACTTTGATGTGGTTCAGAGACAAATCGGAAGAAGAAATAGATAAGGAGATGGCTCAGATGAAAATTAGCGTGGAAGAAAATCAGAAGAAAGCCAGTGTTAAGGACATAGTGGCGACTCCTATTGATCGAAAAGCGTTCTGCATGCTGCTTGTGCTGACGTGTGTGAGAATCACAAGTGGGACAGGAGCTATTATGGTTTATGCGACAAAGATATTTGACATGGTTCCGCACCTAACGATTCCATCATATGTGATCACCATTGCGTTTGGGGTAGTTATGCTGATAGGAGGTATAGTCGGGTCTGTGACAACAGACACTTTGGGGAGAAGGCCTTTATTGTTAATCTCCTGCATCGGTTCTTTGATCTGTCAAGCGTTTACTGGTACTTACTTCTTCTTGTTGTTTAAAACTACAGTTGTTGTTTCGAACTTTAGCTGGATCGCTCCCGTCAGTATCCTCATCTATTCGGGCCTCTGTACAGCTGGTATGTACCCTGTCTGTTCAGCCTACACATCGGAACTTTTCACCTCTAACATGCGAGGTTTAGCCTCCAGCGTTGGAACTATCAATGTTACATTCTTTTCTTGGGTTAGTTTAGCCTTGTATTTGCCACTTACAGAATATATAGGTTTGTATGCTAACTTTTATTTATATTCTACCGTGTTGTTTTTCGGCTCCGTATACTTTTATTTCTTTGCACCCGAAACGAAAGGTAAATCTTTTGTTCAAATTAGAAACGAGATGAGCAAAAAAGTCTGTCACAGTTTCACTATCATTTTTAAATGAAATGTTAATATTATTGAAATGTAGTGCATAATTACTAAAAACATTCCAAAATCATTTTAAGTCATTGATATGATGTAATATTATAAATTGTTATGTTTAGTTTATCTCTAAATAGTTTAAAAACTGTAAATGTATGTATAATTTATTTTTGTTCAATTTTATTTTGGATAACTTTTGTATTAATAATTTTAACTGAAATGGCGACTATATGAAAATTAACTAGTTATTACTCCATTTGGATTTTTTTTAAGCTACCCCCAAAATATATTATGTATACCATTTTTTTAAATAATAAATGCGCACAACAAAAACATCATTATGCACAAACCTGGGATAAGTTTAGTCTAGTAAATAATTAGTTGACTACATTTACCTTTTATTTGATATAGTGACAATTGAATAGTTGAATGAACTGCACTGTTTTAAAACAGAACAGGCAATCTGGGAAGTATCAATGAATTCCATGTTTTGTAATCATTGGTAGTAAGCTGTTTCGCTGTCGCCTTTCGACGTAGAACAATATAATCTTATGATCGTGTCCAATGTGATCTTGATATTCCCTCTTCGCTGTTGAATGGGAGGGGCAAATGACACTATACTGCTAAAAAACTATGAGGTTCGCACTTTAGGGCCACGGCCACCTTTAACTCCAGGCATTCGAAGTGGCAACGTCACAAATAGTGTTGTTACAGCTGTTTTGTTTGGAGGCCCTGAGCTCTGTCCCAGTTGGTTTTTAAAATACCATGTTATCATTATTTGTTTACATTATGATCCGCTGGATAGTTAAATTATTGCTGTTAACATTTAAAGTAGTAATTCAAAGAAACGGTTGCTACATACTGTCACATACACATACGGTTGCTACATACTGTCATAGATAAAACATACTCCCTTAAACTGTGTACTATACTGCTAAATGACTTGAATGAAATATTTATTGAATTCAATATTTAATCATTTGAGTTTGGCTTTTTACACATATTACAATGGAAAAAGTGAGAAACCCTGGGCAATTTGATACATTTCACCAAATAATAAAACTGAATTGAGAAACCAAAGCTTTCATATTCTTAAAAAATAAATACCATTAGCTGCCTCCAAACAAATTAGCTGTATCAACCCTACTTGCGACGTTGCCACTTCGATAACCGCGGCCTGGAGTAAAAGGTGGCTGTGGTTACATCATTGATAATGTACGTCGATATTAATT